TCTTTTTAATTATTTTTGTTTTTTCTTATAATTTTTTAATAATTCTTTTTAGTATTTATTTTTTAATGACTTATATCAAAAACCGATCTGGCAGCACTACACAATTTTTTTTTTTAACTCGTACATACCTCTATGTAAACAAAAAATTATTGATTGTTATCACAACGCAGTTTTTCTTTCCAACCACCCTCATTTGTTGCCTCTTCCAGTTCGCTGCATTAATTTTTTCACTCCGCCCTTTCTACCATCTTCCGCAGCCACATAATTGACCACAATGTATGTGCTCATTAATTCTTTGTAATTTTTTCTTTCTAACAAAATTACAAAAGCGCCACAAAAGAGACTATAAAGCCGCGCTTGTCCAGCAGCTCTTAGGCAGTTTTGTTGTATTTATATGTTTGTTGTTGTTTTTCCTACAATACTTTGGCAGTTGTTCACAAACCGCAAAACTAATTATATAGCTCAGCTAATTTAACTAATTAAATGCAGTGAAAATGCTAATTAAAACGAAGCAGTCATGATAAAAAAGGGATGCAGGCAAATTCGATTTTTGGGCAAAATCAAATTTTTTTCTAAAAAAAAAGAAATTATTTCTGTGTTTTTGTTAAAAATACGGGCATGTATAAATTTAGTTAGTAATAAAACGTTATTTAATGTGTTAATTTAAATTTTCACCTATAAAATGACTTTTTCTTCTGACCTCCTCTGCGTATGAGTAACCTTAGTGCAGGGAACTTGGCAAGAAATTTGCGCTGTAGTTATACTCGTATTTAAATATTTGTTTTAATGTATTCAATTTTATGAAAAAACAGTAAAATAACTTTAAAAATTTATTTAAAAAATATGATTCAAAAAAATATTAAAAAGCAAAAAATAATAAAAAAAAAAAACACAACTAATGACTTAGCAGCAATCACTGCCAAATCTATCGACACATGCATGTATATGTCTGTCTCTTATACACATCTAGATGTGTATAAGAGACAGGAGCAGAGAGCATTATATTATCATAATTTATTTATATATTTTTGAATTTTTATATAATTTTATT